CTGGTGAGCATCGCTGGTGGCTCAGCAGTAGAGAATCTGCCTGCCAAGGTAGGAGATACGGGTTCGATCCCTGGGTTGGGGAGATGCCCTGGAGAAGGAAAACCCACTTCACTAATTGTGCCTGGGAAATTCTCTGGGCAGAGGAGCCTGGCAGGCTCCAGTCCATAGGGTGGCAAAGAGTCTGACATGACTGATACACTCAGCAATAACAACTGCTTGATTTGGCTGCTACTATTTAAGAACCAAAACATTTCACATAGAAATTGGCATCTCCTTTTAGGCTTGTTTTCCACTTTTACATTACCTGCTGTGGAAGATGGAATAATGGTCCTCCAAAGATGTCCTGTCTTATTTCCTGAAACCTGTGAATGTGTTAGGTTACATGGCAATGGGAAACTGAGGTCGTAGGCAGAATTAAGGCTACCATTCATCAACCTTAATGTAAGGAGATGATGCTGGATTTTCTGAGTGTGCCTCATGTAATCTCAAGGGTCCTTATAAGTGGAAGAGGGACATAGAAGAACAAAATCAGAGAGAAATATTGATACAGAAGAAGGGTGGGAGACATGCAACTTTGTTGATTTTGAAGATGCAGGCAAAGGGCCAGCAAGCCAAGGCATGTAGGTGGTCCCTAGAAGCTGGAAAAGGCAAAAAAAAAAAAATTCTTTCTTAGATCCTCTAAAGAAGGATGCAGTCCTGTGACACCTTGGTTTTAGCCCAGTGAGGCCTGTGTTGGACTCTTGACCTTCGGAAGTGCAAGATAAAAAAATTTGTGTTTATGGGGCTTCCCTGGCGATCCGGTGGTTAACACTCCACCAAGGGATGGGTTTGATCTCTGATCAGAGAACTAAAATGCTGAATGCCACATGTTGTGGCCAAAAAAAAAAAAAAAAAAATTGCTTAAAAAAATTTTTCGGCAACTTGCTACAGAAAAACAAACAAAAAACCCCAAAAATGAAAAAAAAAAAAAAAAAACAACAAACCAAAAACGAACACACTATTGAATTCCCAAAGGATAAAATTATTTTTGCCTCTTCTTCATCCTTATGTTTTCAACCTAATTATTTTGAGGTGTTTCATAATCCTGGCAAAGTCACTGAGCCTAGCAGAGCTGCAGAAACTCCTTGACTTTCCTATCGGAAAGTGTTGATCAATAAGAGTGCTTGCTGCCTTTGATCCAAGCTTCAGTGCTGGCGTCTGTAAAGGACTTTTAGCTACACAAGAGAGTGGTACTTTCACTGTTCCATAAAAGTATTGAGTGATAATTATTATTGTGGAATGGTTGTATTCCCTACTCTGTAGGATATTAGCACTGGATTTTCACTTCACCCCATGGACTGCAGCACGTCAGGCTCCTCTGCCCTTCACTATCCCCCAGAGTTTGCTCAGACTCAGGTGCATTGACTCGATGATGCCATCCAACCATCTCATCTCCTGCTACCCGCTTCTCCTCCTGCCATCAGTCTTTCCCACCATCAGTGTCTTTCCCAGTGAGTCAGCTCTTCGACTCAAGTGGCCAAAGTATTGGAGCTTTAGCTTCAGCATCAGTCCTTCTAATGAATATTCAGAGTTGATTTCCTTTAGAATTGACTGGTTTGATCTCCTTGCTGTCCAAGGGACTCTGAAGAGTCTTCTCCAGTACGACAATTTGAAAGCATCAGTTCTTCAGTGCTCAGCCTTCTGTATGGTCCAACTCTCACATCCGTACATGACTACTGGAAAAGCCATAGCTTTGACTAGATGGACCTTTGTTGTCCAAGTGATGTCTCTGCTTTTAAATACACTGTCTTTATTTGTCACAGCTTTCCTCCCAAGGAGTAAGCATCTTTTGACTTCATGGTAGCAGTCACTGTCCAAAGTGATTTTGGAGCCCAAGAAAAGAAAACTGGCCACTGTTTCCACTTTTTCCCCATCTATTTTTCCATGAAATGATGGGACCAGAAGCCATGATCTTAGTTGTTTGAATGTTGAATTTTAAGGTTTGGAAGAGTTCAACATTTTTCTCAAACAAATTTCCTGGGCTGGATACATCATGCTAGTTAGGAGGAGAAAGTCTTATCAGAGAAGGTATGTTTTCATTTGTTTTTGTATGAAAGACCATGGAGGGCCTTGGAAGGAACTAGGACTGAGACAGGCAGGAAGAAACGAGCTCTTCAAAGATGCCCTGGAGCAAAGGGCAAGGTAAGGGGAGCAGACATAGGTTGGACCCAGATGACACCCAGTTAGGATCATGGAAGGACAGGAGTCCTTATGGGCAAGTTGCAGCCAGAGTAACTTTGGGAGACTTAGGAAAATACCCTTTTCCAGGTTGATGCCTGCGTAGAGTTCCAGGCCCCTCCCAGCCAAGGTCTTCTGAGAAAGGCCAACTCATAGAATGGACATGAGTCTGAGCAAGCTCAGGGAGACGGCTGAAGCCTGGCTTGTTACATGCAGCCCATGGGGTCGCAAAGAGTTGGACATGACTGAGTGACTGAACAACAATTTTTAGAAATGGAAGTGGCAGCGGCAGCCTGGTCTGTTGGGGGCTTGCAGAGTCCTAGCAGATGCTCTTCTCTGGGCCTGACATCAGGACCATTTGAGAGATGGAGGCAGGAGTCAGGAAAATGGAGACATCAGTTTTACTTTTGAGTGTGTACCCCAAACAGTCGAAAGCAGGGGCAAGAACAGATATTTGTACACCTCTGTTCATCGCAGTGTTGTTCAAAGTCATCAAAAGTCCAAAGCAAACTAAACGTCCATCCACCGACAAATGGTTAAAAACAGTGTGGTGTGTGCATACAAAGGAATATTTTTCAGCCTTGAAAAATAAGGAAATTAGATGCATGCTGTAATTCAAGTTTCCCTGGTGGCTCAGCGGTAAAGAATCCAACTGCCAATGCAAGAGAGGCGGGAGACTCGGGTTTGATCCCTGGGTTGGGATGATCCCTTGGAGGAGGAAATGGCAACCCACTCCAGTGTTCTTGCCTGGAGAATCCCACGGACAAAGGAACCTGGTGGGCTACAGTCCATGGGGTCAGAAAGAGTAAGACATGACTTAGGGACTAAACAACATCAACAACATGCTTGGCAAAGGTGTCCCTTAGAAAATACCTTGGGGCAGCTGGGGATGAGCCACTCTGGTGGGAGTGGAGGGCTTTGTGATATGGTACTCTTGTTTATGTTTAACTTGGGTCTGGATCTTGAACCAACTGTGAAACTGACACGACTTCAGAATAAATGCCATTGTACCTATTCCACAGTTTACCCTCCTGGACTCACTTATCCTGTCGCATGTTCTTTCAAGTTTCCGAGTGTTATCATATCTTTGTGGGGTAACAGCAAGGGACACTGGGACTCAGACGGAGGCAGATGGTGAGTTGGGGAGGGATGGGTCTGCCCCGACCCAGCCCGAGGCACCTTCTCTATCTGACCCTCCTGCAGAGTCTTCACACCATTGGCTTCTGTTTGGTCCTGGGTCTCAACACAAAAAGAGTCCTGTCTGACTCTTTGTGACCCCATGGACTGTAGCCCGCCAGACTCCTCTGTCCATATGGGATTCTCCAGGCAAGAATACTGGAGTGGGTTCTCCAGGCAAGAACACTAGAGTGGGTTGCCGTTCCCTTCTCCAGGGGATCTTCCTGACCTGGGGATCAAACTTGGGTCTCCTGCATTGCAGGCAGATTCTAAATGGTCTGAGCCACCAGGAAACTGTGATTGCTACCAAATTCAATAGTTTCATATTTACTCCAAAGTGTAAAACCTGCTTACCATTTGTCTTTGCATTTCAGAAGCGTGTAACTTTAAGATTCCTTCCTGTCTCTCCAGCATTCACGCTGTGAAACTGAACTTTTCCCAGACACAGGCCAATCCCTTCCTTCAGCGTGACAGGTTTTGAATGCATCTTCCTAGATACACTCAAACGCTGGCATGATCTCCCAGTGACGTCTTAAAGCCAGGTGACTGAGGAGACCGGTTTAGTAACTTGGAAATTGCCTGAGCAGAGGTTTTCTGAGGTTTGTGACATAAGCCCAGGTTCAAGTGGGACTTGTCTGGGAGGGAGCAGGGAGAGATCATGCACACAATGGCCACTGGCAGCAAAGAGATCCCGAGCCGGACACCATCTGCCTTTCTCCTTCCTCATGGCTGGGAATTTACCAGGTAAACTGTGGGACCTATGTTGCCTGAAAAAAAAAAACAAACAAGCAAAGCAAGCAAAATGTCTGATAGTAATTACCTTTTGCAGGGGAACAATTTACCTGAAATCTCTAGACAGAAAGAGGGGATTTTAGCTCCCAGAAGCGATGCTGCCAAAATGCGATTTGGAAAGCGAATCCATGGGCAGGAGCTTAATGCACCAGATTTATGTGTGCTGTTAGCTTCTGAGCAATATAATTATTGTGGTTTTTCTGCCTTGAGCTACTGCCTCCAGTTTCTGGGAAGAGGGCTCGACTATTTCCCACTTGGTGACATTTATTACCATCACCCCTCATGGCAAAACTCACCTTAGCTTTCCATCTCCCCGGCCTCCACTGAACCTCTTGTTTACAAAGAGCCTCTATTTCTATTCCCAATTGTTAATGCAAATATGAATCAAGCATCAAAGATTCATTTTTGCAATGTTGTATTGAGGTCGACTTCCTTGTCTCAGATAGCTGAGAAATCTCTGATGGATTCAGATTCCTATAAAGCATCTGGGCTGAAACAGATGAGAACCCAGGCATGCAATTCCTGGCTTTGTAATGTAGACAGGTCTACATTACAGGACCCCGTAAGTGATGCTTTGATTTATGAATGCATCATGCTGGGGGATCATTGCCTTGAGAAGACTTAGTTTATTGGAGGTGAAGTTCTCATCTGTATGTACATCAATTCTCCCTCTCTGATCTGTCCTGCCCTGACTCTGGCTCAGAATTGGTGGCTGGGTTGCATTTGCTTTTTCTTTTTCAACTCTACAAGTTGAGGAGCCTATTCAGTGGGACTGTGCAGATGAATAAGAGCTGATTTGTGTCCTCTTTTTCCAGCATCACCATCCCCATTCTCATCCTTACCATCATCTTCATCACCATCGAAACAGTGGCCCACCATTACTAGGGCTTCCCTTGTGGCTCAGCTGGCAAAGAATCCACCTGCAATGCAGGAGACCTGAGTTTGATCCCTGGGTTGTGAAGATTCCCTGAAGAAGGGAAAGGCTACCCACTCCAGTATTCTGGCCTGAGAATTCCATGGACTGTATAGTCTATGGGGTGGCAAAGACTTGGACACAACTGAGCGACTTTCACTTCACTTGTCATTACTATGATCATCTTTCCTAAAATTTATCTAGAGTCTTCTCAGTCCAGTTCCGTTAGGCATTTTATTTGTTGCTGTTACTTATATATGTATTTTTTGTTTATTTTTTTGTTCACTAGTTTGTTGTATTTTTTAGATTCCACATATCAGTTTTATCATACAGTATGTCTTTCTCTGTCTGACTTAACGTCACTTAGTCTAAAACCCTCCAAGTCCCTCTGTATTGCTGCAACTGGCAAAACTTCATTCAGTTTTGTAGCTGATTGGTATGCCATTGTATATATGTACCAGATCTTTATCCATTTGTTGATGGATACTTAGGTTGCTTCCATATCTTAGATATTGTAAGTAATTCTGCTGATAACAATGGGAGTGCATGTATTTTTTTTCAAATTTGTATTTTCATTTTGGGGGATGTGTTAGGCACTTTAGCAATATAGTCTTATTTATGACTCTTAAAACAACACTGCAAATTGGATACGATTGCTCTCACATGGCAGTGAGGCACCTGCATTTCAGAGGGCTTAAGTGTCTTACAGTAAGTCATAGAGTGAGACTTGAACACTGATCTGTTTGACTTTAAAGCCGGTATCTTCACTATCATTCTGTACTGCCTCTCTTAGAGTCTAACTAACCATTTCTCTAAACAGAGGTTTTGTCATGCCCCACATTAGTGGGATTGGTAAAACCAGACTAAACAAAAAAACTTTATTCAAGCTGCACCCGAGATGAAACAATGAACTTCTTTCCCCAAGCTCATTACAAGTATTAAGTGTGTAGTGATTTAATTAGGATGTGTCTATTAACAGCTTTTACTGAGGTCAGTGGAATACAAATGTTTTGCAACTTGGCGTTGCTGTTTGATTTTGTCTGGCTTTAAGCCTTTGTGGATCCACCACAAGCCCCTCTGAACGAAAACCTTCATCCTTCTAACGGTGCATTCTCATGCATGAATGTTTTATTAATTTTCTTGACTTCAAGAAAAGGAGAGGTTGGGGAGATTTTCCAGTTCATTAAAAAAAAAAAACCTGAAAAAATTCAACTCTTCTGTTGGATTCATGAGCAATGGATGGAGTGACTGTGAGAAGTGTGGCCGTCTGACAGAGGGCTGGAAGCATTGGGAGTGGTGGAAGGAGGTGGCTACATTGTAAGATAAAATATAACTTTTGTGGCTTATAATAGTTTTCTACCAGTTTTTTTTCTGTTCAATTCCATCAGTGTTTCTTGACATGCTCAGGAGCTTGGCCATTGCCGGTTCATTTACTTTATAAGAGAAATATTGGATTAAGGTAGAAGGGAAACGTCATTTCAGTGATAGTCTGAAAAGAGAAGAGGAGATTGGACCAGAAAAATGTTTAGGGGAAACACATAAACTGTCATTTACTCAAGTTTTAGTTATTTTTTTAGAAAATTGCTGGGATCTGATGCTCTCAAAGAATTGAGTCTTAAATATGAGACTCAGATTTACTCATATTTAAGAGGAGGGAAGAGAGAATTATTTAAAATTGGAACTAGAGAGAATAGCATTGAAACATGTATGCTATCATATGTGAAATAGATCACATATGTGATCATGAATAGATCACATATGATATCACATGTGAAATATGTGAAATAGTCCAGGCTCGATGCGTGAGACAGGTGCTCAGGGCTGGTGCACTGGGACGACCCTGAGGGATGGGATGGGGAGGGAGAGGGAGGGGGGTTCAGGATGGGGAACACACGTACACCCATGGCTGATTCATGTCAATGTATGGCAAAGGCCACTACGATGTTGTAAAGTAATTAGCCTCCAATTAAAATAAATAAATTAATTAAAAAATAAGTAAATAAAACTGGAACTAAAACATGAGATAGTGAGGGTCTCTAGGTTCTAGAGAAATCTGGAAAGTGTGTTTTCTTAGCTTAGAGAACTCAGGTTCTTCTTAGATCCACCTTCATTCTCTTTGGTGGTCTCAGCCCTTCTGGATGGATGCTGGGGAAGAGGCGTTTAAATCAATGCAGCAAGCATAATTCATGCTAATTTTCCAACATCTGACTTGGGCAAGAGCTTTCCTGGTGCCAGAGTTTTCTTTATTTGCAGAGGTAGTGGTGGAATAAATCTGATGGGGTTCTCTCTGGGCTCCCAGACATTTAAATTATTTACACTCACTGAACCCTTGTCAATGGAAAATGCAATGCAGAACCTAAGAATACTCAGACCTAGATACAATTCCTGCTATTGACAGTCAAGTTTATTTCCTCACCGTCTCTTCCTTTGGCCCTGCACACCCCCTCCCACACCTCTTCCAAGACCCTTTCCTAAGGTGGGGCTACTTAAGCCAAATGTTGCCCTTATGTCTAGTTTTCTTTATATGTTTGTGGCTTTAAAAAAAAAAGAGAGAGAGAGAGAGTATCATAGACTGGGGAGGGGCCTGGTTACCAAGGCAACTGAATTGGGTGCCGGTGCTTTTCCAGTGTCAACTGGACACTCTGCCCAATTTGCTAGATCATTTGTGGAAGGTTGTTTCTATGACGTATGACCTTTTTAAAGCTTTAATGATCCAGAACACTCAAATCGCCTCATCACCCCCTGGGTGATCAGTTACTGGAGCCCAAAGACAGAGGATCTGAAAAGACACATTTGAGCAGGGCCAAGTTCTGTCTTATGGTCTGGGGTCTACAAACCTGGCCTTAGGGATAATGTGCTGTCTGTATATTTATGCCTCTGCCAGCATCAGACAGCCGGGCTCCCAGGAGCCCTTCATGGCTGAAATCTTCCCCTGGGCTGGCAGCTCCTTCTCCAGCTGGGACCACCCAGTTTTACATTTCTCCTTTACTCCTTTCAGGCGATTGTTCGTTCACCAGGGTTGTGGGGCCACATTTTATTTATTTTTGTGATGTTGTCCAGCACCTATCTCAGGGCCTGGCGTATGGCAGGAGTTGGTAAATATTTGTTGCAATGAGTGTGAAATAATCGGGGCTTCCATGGTGGCTCAGACGGTAAAGAATCTGCCTGTGATGCAGGAGACTCAGGTTCCATCTCTAGGTCGGGAAGATCCCCTGGAGGAGGGCATGGCACCCCACTCCAGTGTTCTTGCCTGGAGGATCCATGGACAGAGGAGCCTGGCAGGCTACAGTCCCTGGGTCACAAATAATCAAGTCTCCCCTTTACTTCCTGAGACCCAAATAACCCATATATCAGTCAATAAAAGTGTACCAAGCACTGTATTACTTTGCCAAGACCGCTGTAACAAAATGCCACAGACTGGGTGACTTAAACAACAGAAATTTAGACTCTCACAGTTCTGAGAGCTGGAAGTCCAGGATCAAAGTGTTGGCAGGCTTGGCTCTTCTGAAGCCTTTGTCCGCACGTTTCCCTTCTCTCTATGTCCTCACACAGTCACCCTGCTGTCTCCTTTTGGGTCCAAAGTTCCTCTTCTTCTATGGACAGCAGCCAATTTGGGTAAGGACCCACGACAATGGCCTCAGTTTTACTTAAGCATCTTTTTAAAGACCCTGTCTCCAGGTGCAGGCACACTCTGAAGTTGCAGGGGTTAGGGTTCCAACACATAGATTTTGGGTGCACATTCCAGCCTGTTAGAAGCACCTGTCATTTGTCAGCACCTGCACTAAGCCCTGAAAGCAAAGGACAGTGATTTTCAGAATCCCTGACAGCAGCCAAGACTTGGATGCTAAGCATTCAGGACTGGACTGACCAGGCTGATCAGAAGAGCTGCTCGTTGGGAATGATTGGTGTACTTATGTATGTGCATCCTTGCTTAGTCTCAGAGATGGCATCCCACGGTCTCAGGTCTCACGCAACATGTAGTGGGAGCCCTAGCAATGAAAGAGTAATTCTAAGGGTGGCGAGTGTTGGAAGCATTAATTCAGGCTGCTGTGGAGGTATTGTTTTTGTTGCTCAGTCACTAAGTCATGTCTGACTCTTTGCAACCCCATGGACTGCAGCATGTCAAGCTACCCTGTCCTTCACTATCTACCAGAGTTTGCTCAAACTAATGTCTGTTGAGTCAGTGATGCTATCTGTCTCATCCTCTGCCCTTTGTCTTCAATCTCTCCCACCATCAAAGTCTGTTCCCTGAGTGGGCTCTTCGCATCAGGTGACTAAAATGTTGGAGCTTCAGCTTCACCATCAGTCCTTCCAATGAGTATTCAGGGTACAATGTGGAGGTACAATGGGAAGTTACCCTTTCGGGTGTTTGTGAGGGGCTGGGTAGGGAATGATTTTGTGAGAAAATGCTTCCACTCTTGGCCAATGCTTTCAATCCTAAGTTCTTTTATGCAGACACCAGTGTCAATTCCCCCAACCTTCCTAGGAGGATGGGATTGTAAGTCTGGATTCTTCCTGATGATAGCACCCTTAAGATTCTTTTTTTTTTTCTAGGTTTCAGCTGAAGAGTTACAGATACTATGTCAGGAGATAAAATTAAGGGGTTATCTTAAGTTTGGTGGAATGATGAGGGATTTAATAATTGAATTAAAATGGTGAGGTAGCAAGGCAGAATAGAAAAAGGGAATAGGAAAGACAAGACCGAAATAAAGAGGGTACGAGTTACCTTTTTTAGGAAGCATCAGGGAAGATTTATTAATCACGCTGCTGTGATGCACTCAGTTGTCCAGTTGTGTCTGACTCTTTTCGACCCCATGGAGCCCACCAGGCTCCTCTGTCCATGGGATTTCCCAGGCAAGAATACTGGCGTGGATTGCCATTTCCTTCTCCAGGGGATCTTCCTGACCCAGGAATCGAACCCAAATCTATTGTGTCTCCTGCATTGGCAGGCAGATTCTTTCCCACTGAACCA